GGGAGGAAAAGTGGAAGGAGCTTGCAAGGTTGACGGAGGAGCAAGAGGCGCGGGACAAGCTTGTGCGAGAGGAGAAGTGGAAACGGCTTGCCCGGGAGAAGGAAGAAGAGGAGGAGCGCGAAAAGCTCATTCAGCAGATCCGAGATGAGGATATGCGAAAGGCAAGGGAAGCCGAGGAGAAGAGGAAGAAGGAGCTCGCTGTCAAGGCTGCTGCTGTTGAAGAGTGGAAGCTTGAACAGGAGCGGAGGAAGCAGAAGGAGGCTGAGGAGGCCATGCAAAAGGCGAGGGAGTTCCGCGAGCACCTCCGCAGCATTGGCTATTCCGAGGAGGAGATCGATGGCATCATCAATAAGAAAAAACACGACGAGAAGAAAAAAGAAGACAAGAAAGAGAAGGAAGAAGACAGGAGGGAAGATAGGAGGGAAGAGCGAAGGGACGAGAGGAAGGAAGAGAAGATCACATGGATCAAGGTATGGAGTACTCTATACATACCTCTATACACTAGGGCTTCAACTGACACTATACCAGGTCCATCGCAAGCACTTGATGCCAGAGACCTTGATAGCCTACGGCCTGCCTTGGGATTGGGATGAGGTAAGAACCAAACCCCCCGTGTGTGTGTGTGCAATGAAGACTAACACGTCCCCAGCATGACAACAACTACATCATCATCAAGAAGTGGATCGACGACGATTTCCAGGAACAGCTCTTCGCCCACACTCGACGTTTACGCGAGACCAAGATGCTCACCGAGACATCCCACTCGATGACCGAACTGAAAGTCAACGACCGCCGAAAGGACAAGATGTTCCTGGTCCGGAAGAAGAGCCCTTCGGGCCGCGTGCGCGTCTTCGCATAAATGTCTTCTATTCGGCACTGTTTTGCCTATGATTGATGTGTGACAAGAAATTTGGATTCCGGTATATGTAAACGTTGTTATTGGTTTCTTGTTGAGATTGTGTCAAGTTGTGTTTTGTTAAGATTTGTTTTTTTTTTGGTGTTTCTTTTTATATCACAGAGCATGTGGTAGTATAGTAACGCGATATGAACTGATGACTATGTTTTTATTCTGATTCTATCTTCTCTCATCGTACCGGCTACTTTGTATACCCTGTCTAATCTACGTGTGTGAACATCTCATGCGCATAGGCTTGGTACAGCTAGGTTGGGGCATACCCCTAGTATAAATGGAAAAGATGGGGTCGGGGATGATATGATAAGCAATATGTGCAGATGCGTACAATATACATGTCAGGCCTCGGCCTTGTGTAAAAAACCCCCATTGGGTCAATCTCAATGCAGGTATGCATCTTTAAGCATGGACCCAGATGCGAGCTAGAATGGGGTCTTAACGGACTATAATACAGAAAGTGGAATGGGTATGATGTGAGGGAGGGAGATAGCCAAGGGCAGGAAAGGCAGGAAACACAAGCCTAAAGACCCATCTGGGGATTCGTCTCCCACCGTCTCTCAGCGCGCAGGATGAGCTCCTCATAAACAGTCCATGCCAGCGCGGAGCTAATAGCCTTGCGAGCCATGCGGATACCAAGTCCACCAAAGAGACTGCGCATGCCATCCTCGTGGATCATCAAGCGCGTAGCATGCACCATGTTCCCATATTTGGCAGGCATCAGCTGCAACCGGGTCTTGACGGCATCAAAAGGATTGGTGATTGCAGTCGCCATGCCGGCGGCCGCTCCACCAGAGACGAAGTGTATTGACGAGGACGAAACAGCAGTTGGTGCCTCGCCATTATTAGAGGGTTTTGCGGCCATCAAGGCGAACCGTCGCTTCAATTGCTCGTAGAAGAGAACATAAAGACCCGCATATGGGGCATCGCGAGCGGCAGTAGCGCCGAATCCTGCGAAGAGCCCACGCAGGCCTTCCGTGCGGACAATATCCCGGCCTGCGCCCATTAAGCTGCGATATGCGTAGTAGTCCGACTCGTAACGGACCTTGATCACGGTCACGGGCATCATCACGAAGCCTGCGGCGACTCTTGCGACGGCTCCCGTGGTGAGATTGGCTGTGTTGGAGAGTTTGGGGAGGACGGAGGATGACCTAGCGCTTGTTACCGGATTTGTCAAGGCTTTTGGGTTGGTTTGTGCAACGGCTTGGCGTAATGCGTTGAGACTGGTGAAGTATATTGCCGACCCGAAGCCGGTGCGGAGGGCTGAAGGAAGTGTACCCCGCCATAATCCGCGGATTGGATGCGGAGAGGATATAATAGCCTTCAAAGTCGGGAGGAGGGCGGCTCCCTGGGACTGTTGGACTCGGGTTTTGAGGAGGTCGGCGGGTTGGAGGAGGATGGAGGAGGTAAGGCCAGAACAAAGACCAGCGGCAAAGTGAAAGGGTGTTTTTGAGGCTATAGCAGTAAGCAGATTACGATTAGCAATGAAATTAAAATGATTGGAGCTTGGACAGAAACATACTTGTTGAGGTGTTGGTTTTCACCTGTGGCACCGTTAGGGTGCTATTTTGCGACATTTCTGGGTCAACCTGGACCGCGACTTCGGCGACGGTGAATATATTTATTTGAAAGGTAGAAGATTCAATGCCAGATCGAGCTCCATGGATGTCGCGTATGCGTAGCGGTCAAGCAGGCGTATCCACCGGATGCGGAAAAAAAAAACAAGAGAGGTCCACAAAGACGATCACAGTTGAATGTGGGCACTAGCTTGCATTCCACCAGGGATTCAACGAGGGGAAATAGAATTGAACAAGATCGAGAGCAAATGCAAGTGCTGGGCCTTGCCGAGGTCGCCGACAGACGTTGAAAGACAGTGAAGTCATCAGGGTCAGCAATGGCTATCGATAAGCCACACCGCTTGGCATTTTATGTTGATTTTATACATTGTACAATATTCGGAGTAGAAGATTAGTAGAGCACTCTAAAGTCAACTACATAGTATGACTGCTATACTATCCCACATGCGGCTCTTTGACCGTAAGGCTGTTGTATGTTCGGAGTACGGGGTACTTTATGTAGATCATTCCAACGCATATGCATACTGTTTTACAGCCCCAAACGCAAGCAGAAACATATAAACACAAATACAGAAGTCGATATCGGAGTAAATATAGAAATTTAATTACAAATATGTCAATAAATAGCCCTCGAGTGAAGAAATCAACTGCATCCGGCATCTCGCGGAGTGTGCACGGACCAACGAGCCCGTGGGTTATCGACGTCATGTGCTTTTTGTTGTTCTTTTCTCTTTTCCCTTCTCTTTGAATTTCGAGGACATTATAGGGCTTACAGACCTTACAGACCTTACAGAGTCGACATCTATATTACCTTGGTATACAGCATAAATGCCTTGGTCTTTGCCCTTCTTTCCGTATCCGACCGCAAAGGCCGGATACTGGGAGCCTGTCACTTCCACCTTGAACTGGTGCGAAGAGGTGTGTATTTCTAACCACAAGGAAGCGCAGAGGCAAGAACTAGGCTGATATATGTCTTTGCGCAGGACTATTATGCTACCCCATATGCCGCGGAGATTGTCAACACACTCACGAATTTGCTGTTCATGTGGCTTGGAGTCCAGGGCATTCGCAGCTGCCGTCGTAATGGACATGACCAAATCTTCACGGTCGCCCTCGTTGGCTACCTAGTAGTCGGAACAGGAAGCTTTCTGTTTCACTCGACCCTCAAGTGTAAGTTTCCTATACACTAACCCCAAGATGTGGTCAAGGGCGGCGGGCCCCCACCAAAGATGCCTTGAACGATATGAGTGATCGCAAGAGCAATACTGACCGGTGAACCCTACAACAGACCCTATGCAACTAGTGGACGAACTTTCGATGATCTATACCACCTGCCTTATGGCATATGCCTCATTCTCGTACTCCCGGACCAACACCGTACGAGTCTTTCTCGGAATTACGCTCACAGGTCTCGCTATATTCATCACCCTGTACTACCACTATCTCCAAGACCCAGTCTTCCACCAGAATGCATACGCATGCCTGACTACCGTCGTCGTCTTCCGCAGCATGCACACTATGGAAACAACCCTCCGACCCAGATGGCGCCACTCAACGGAAGAGGACCGCCTAGCACGCCAGAGGATGGGTCTTCCCGTTCCGACAAAGGAGCGCCAGAACTACGAGAATGTGCGCGACATGAAGACCCTCAAGACCATGTGGTTCATGGTGATATATGGACTGAGCATGTTTTTGGGCGGTTTCTTCATCTGGGGCTTGGACAACATATTTTGCTCTGAGATCCGTCGGTATCGCCGCTCTGTTGGTCTTCCATGGGGTCTACTTTTGGAAGGGCATGGTTGGTGGTATGTGCTTAACCTACTATGAATTGCTATGGTCTGTTTGCTAATTCATTCTCACTTGCAGGCATATCATGACTGGCATCGGTGCTTATCTCTATATCACATGGGGAATCTGGCTCCGCCACTGCCTCAACAACGAACAAGACGAATACCACCTGCGCTGGGTGTACTTCTGGCAGATTCCCGAAGTGGTCCGCACCTCGGGTGTGCCATCCGAATCCGCGGTAGCCCGAGCCAAGAAGTCAACGTGAAACAGCTGCCGAGACATTCTCTCTCCCAGTTGGTTCATTACTCGCACCCATTTTTTATAGGTGGCGATATACCACACTCTTGCAAATGTGACCCTCGACATAAAATAGATACCACGCTCCTGTCTGTCCTTTGCCGTGAGACTCGGAGCAGAGCACTGTTTTCTTTATAATCTTCTTGGCGTTGCTTTCGCGAACACCATTCGTCCCGGAGACGGATCTTTTGGCTTGGACCATAGAGATACCTTTTGCTCTTGCTTTTTAATTGGGGGCGCACGGGGTCGTTGCTATAGAACGGGGTCAGACTTGTGAACTATTATAGTCGTTGATTCGGCGAACTCATTCATAGAGCCTGAAAGAAATAGAAAACCACTCAGACGAGCCTTGGCCGCTCTATATTCGTTGTAGAATAATCTAAAAGCAAACTATATATGGTTTATACTTCTACGAACGAATTATTCACCTATAGCTTCGACTCCCCATTCTGTACCGCCTTCGGCCTACGCGCTGGCGCAGGAACATTCTCCAACCACTCCGCATCAACAGTAACCTTCTCAACCTTAGACTTCCGACTCCAAGCCCCGCGGAAACTCTCCTCTTCAGCCTGCCAGCGACGGATCTCTGGCGCAAGCCAACAAACCGCCGCATCAGCGCATTCATTCACAGCCTCCTGGGCAAGGAGATGACCAAAATCCTCGAGGAAGACATCACGCACACGGCCCGCAGCCACGCCGCCACTGCCGCCCAGCCCGGTACCGGTGTTAGCGAGCTTGTCGGCGCGCATAGCGGGCACGCACATGTCCGACTTGCCGGCGAAGATGTACAACACGCTAGGACGCAGGAAAGGAATCTGAGTGAAGATGCGGGCTGGCTCTGGTCGGTAGAAGGGGTAGCTGTGCGCGTGGGTTGCGTCTAGGTCTGGGTGTGTCACGCGGTTGACGGGCTTGGTGCTGTTGGGGATGTTTGTGTAGTTTGGCCGCGAGAAGGTGAACACTTCTTGGTGCAGTGTAGTTCGGAGTGTTACTGGGGGCCCGGTGGTTTTGTCTGTCGGGGTCTTGGGGTAGATGGCTGTTGGGAGGTCGCGCAGGCCGTACTCGATCCAGCGGGATAGCACTCGTGGGTCCCAGGTTTGGTAGAAGGGGCTGCGGCGGAAGCTTTCTGCGGCTGCTTGGCGGGAGGGCCAGAGATCGCGCCGGTGGGTTGATAGTTGGGTTGTTTTGGCGATCACGCGCTTGTTTATTTGCAGGCTGAGACTGTCTAGTTGAGTGGTTTGGCGCTGGATCACTGGGTCTAGGAGGACTAGTGTGTGGATGAGTCGGGGGTGCATTAGGCACAGTTGTGCGCTAGGGGTATGTTAGCTAGCTGCTGCGTGAATGTCCTGGTTATTGAAACTTACAGATGGGCGCCTCCCATGCTATGCCCTATGCCAACAATAGGCCGGGGCATTTCAGCCCGCTTGACGTTGATTAGGTGGAGGAGGTCTCGGGGGTGGTCAAACCAACTAGCTGTGGTATAGTTAGCACCAATTGCTTCTCATAAGACATTCATATTACATACGGTCATTTCCGAGGGAGTCTTCATTGATCACGCTGCTCTGGCCTTCTTGCGCCACGTCGGCCATCCAGATACCGCGAATGCGCATCCCATTCTGCTTAGATCGGGCGTATATCTCCTCCCAAAGTGGTTCATATAGTTCCTGCGAGAAATGATCAGTATATCGCCGATTCTAAGTTGTATGCTTCTAGGGCCATCGCCATGCGCGCAGCCCAAAAGCGGGTCTGGACCTCGGTACTTGTATGCCATACCTTGGGGAAGCCATTCGCGTGGGCACCAAGGATGGTAATGTCGCCTGGTTGTGGATTGAGATTGTCGAGTGGGATATATTGTTTCACGGCCAGATATAGGGGCTCTTCCTGGTCGTTGGCCGTGGCGCCAGGATACTCCCTGATGTGCTGAGTGGGCACGACATGCTCAATGATGCGAAAGGGGGACGACATGGTGTGCAATTTTGCCCTTCTAGAGAGGAGAAGAGATTGTACTTATTCCAGATCGGAATTATTATAAGATGTAATCTGTAAAGGAGAATGAGTTCACTAAAATTCCGAGAGACCGCGGTTTTGCGGGGAAGAGCCGAGGATCTCTGGGGTTTGAGGCATTCGTCGCTGTTCAACTGCCGATGACCATCCCTTTTTAACAGCTTATACATAGGCGCATAGGAATATATTATTTCAATTAAATGGATACTTCGGTCTAGCAGCTGCAATAATTTATAGTTCCGGTTGGTGGACGTACCTCTGCCGGGCGAGGAGGCGATATTATATTTTTAGGAAAGATACACCTCTGGGGTTATTTGATTTCAAGTCAAAGATGAGAGACAGAATTGCCGCTGAGACTGTTCCTGACATGTTATCCCCGAACAAGCAAAGATGCTACATTATTCTATATACTACTCTGCGCTGAGAGCAAGACAAGCATCAACGGCTAGACCAACCCTATGAGCAACAGTTAGTAAAGATCCCATAGAATAAACCTTTTCAAGTACTCACCTCCCCTCTTTCATCTTAACGACGTCGTCAATAAGATCATGATCTAGGTTGGGAAACATGTTCGAAAGTGTCTCGACAACATTATTATGTTCAGCGCGTTGGATGCGACGCGCCTCCGCATCTTCAGCACTAGCCTGGCGTGCGGCAGCATCCTGAGCGTCGAGCACACGGCTTAGATTCTTCTTCGCAGAGGTTCCGCTACCGCGGGCACGCTCATCGCCTGAGCGGCGGTCCTCGCTGCTTGCGCGGGGTGGCTGGTAGACATTCGGAGTGAGACGCGGAGGAGCAACACCTGGTTGGGGTGTCGGGACAGGCTGAGGACGTTCTTGAGGGGCGGAGCCTGAATCCCCGTCGTCGGAGAAGATGCGGCCGATGGTGGAGAGGGGGTTTTGGATAGTGCGTAGTAGTCCTGCGACTGGGGCGGTGTCTTCGTCACTGGATTGAGTAGTTTCTTTGCGGCTTGGTCCAGCCTGGGGCTGAGATGGAGGGGGTTGAGTGGGAGGCTTTTCTTCGAAGGTTTCTGATTCCCGGTTTTGTTCTGCGATAGCGGACACGGCGGCTTCGACGTTGCGTTCGAATTCCTCGTCGCTGACTGTTAAACTTGTGCGGTCGAGAGTCTCGATGAACTGGATTGCTCCAGACTAAGAGAGGTTAGTTTGGATATCTAGGGCAGTATGGAAGTCAAACATACCAAAGATGAGATATAATAACCTGCTTCTCCGCCTAGTTTATCCTGGTTGCGGAATCGAAGAATGTATTGGATGTTAGAAACAAGATGATCAGGGTTTGCATGCAAAACCACATAGATCAGGAGGGGGATGAAAGAGTCGGCAGATGTGTCGGCCTTTTTGGAATTCTTTAATAAACCAAATATGACTTTGCAGCAGTTCAAGATGCAAATGACCTTGTCTCGAGGAGCCCGGTAGCCATTGATTTTTGATATTTCTGTCAAGCAAAGTCAGAGAGTCAACTTGGAAATCTCCAAGATAGCACACAGTACATACCTTGCTGTGCCAGATTCAAGAAACGGCGTCCACCGCCGCTCACAGTCGGGATGTCCAGATGTGTTTCGTTGACCCAGCTGTAAATGCGTATCTTCTGAGCTAGGATATCGTCTCGCTCGACGTCCTCCTGATGCTGGCCACGTCGCCACGGCCCATGGAGCCTCTCTAGCTCTCTCCGTCGGGTCCGGCTTGCGCTTCTAGGTATCGTCGGTGGAGATGGAATGGCTGGAGCGAAAGTCTGCGAATACAGACGATTCATAACAAGTTTCTCCATGCCTTCCTTGGCATTGTCGAATTCGCTATCCGAAACATCTCGCCAGATCTCGCACATGGCCATCTTATTTGTGATAAACGTCAAGAAATCGCTGATGATCTTGACTTGCTCGTGAACCATCCATTGCTTCTTGCCAAACTCCATGAGGAATGACCGCAGAAACTTGGCTACGGGGTCGGCGGTGCGGTGTCGCAGCTGTTCTAGGAAGCGGTGGAAATCGAATGGTTGGTCAGGCTCTGGTTCCGGCAGTGGTAGGATCGTCGAGGTGGATGCTCTCCGGTTTGGTACCGGCGATTCGGGCATCTGCGGACGTTGCGATACAGGCTGTTTCTCCGGGGTAGCGACCGGAGCGGTCACGGACTCGGTGGAAGCCGCATGGTCCAAACTGGATTGGCGTGGCGGGAAATATGTTGGACCGCTTCGCAGTTGCTCAGCAAGCTCAAGCCGTGGTGACATGATCACATTTTGGTCGGTACTCTGCGCGGGGTCCTGGAATTGTCCCATGATACTTTGAATCTCTGGCTGGGAGGCATTATCGTCCCGAGGTCCTTCGGCCTGACCAGCTCGTTTAGATTCCGGGTCACTGTCACTAGGCACATCTGGGAGCTCTTTTTCGGGGCTGAGGGTGTGGTTTGTGTCGATGGATGGCAGTGTTGGCGCAGTGGTCGTAGAACTTGTCAGGTTGAGGTAGACATCGTCCTTTTGGGGCGGAGGGGGCGGAGGAGTATTTGCGCTGGATGGCAGATTTGGAGTCGCATCTCCGGAGACCGACAGTCCTTCCAGCTGCCCCGCAAGTTGCTGTTGCTCAGCTTGTGATGGTTGGGCAGCCGTCAAGTCCATCGCGGCGGGATCGGAGGGAGCAGCCGCGGCATGTGCCTCTGTTGTATCCTGCGCGCTCATTTGGACTGTTTGACTGCTGTCTGGTCTGACGAGACCGTCCTGTGTTTGAGCTAGGCGGTCGGTTGAAGCGGCCGGCGTTTCGGTGTGTTCATGGATATGGGGGACGTCTCTCGTATCGGGAGCCGGAGAGGACGGGGATTCTGTGGCCGACATAAGCTATGTTAGTCATATGCGCCCGGGCAAAAAAAATAGATTCAGGGGGTCATGAAGACTCCGAGTATGCTCATGCGGCTCCTCATATTGATGTACGGATCATCATTCAACCGAGGTAGTCCGCTTCTCGATTCAGGCGATGTCTATTAATAATGTATAGAGGAATGAGTGCCCAGATGGTTGGTTTATCTTAAGGAGACTGACTTAACAGTATCATTATGGATTTCTCACTCGGCAAGAGATGTATTTACTACTCCGTACCTATATGTAGTTCTAATATTGCTCAGCCTGTGTACTCCATACCTTCGCAGATAGGTACTTGAATGATGCCCATCTCCTTTCACGGATTTCAGAGTCAAACTCAGTATTAAAAGAAAAATGCTACCTAGTAAGAAACCATCTACGAGTTCAACATCGTCCAATCCGTCGTAAGTCGGGATGTGGATATAATGACTAATGCCTTAATGCCTCAGGCACCACTATATCCAAAAAAGCCCAAGCTGACCATCTCAGAATAAACAACACTCCCACCCTGCCCCTCCGCCATGTGTGGAATTTTCTTTTCATTGAGCTCGTCAAAGTTGACACCACCGACACAGGAGACCTGCACTCTGCTCCAAAAGCGAGGACCAGACAGTTACAAAACTCATACGGCGCAAAAAGATATCAACGCACAGGATGGAGTGTCTCCGCCCCTTTCCTATTATCTCACCTTCACATCCACAGTGCTCTCATTGAGAGGTGACCATGTGTACACACAACCACTTGTAGACCCCACAACCCAGTCTGTGCTCTGCTGGAACGGAGAAGCCTGGAAGATCGCTGGGGAGCGCGTCCAAGGCAATGATACCGAACGCGTTTTCAACTTATTTCTACAGGCAGTGAAGGGTGATCAGAATGATTCTGTTGAGAGAATGGCTGAGGCCATTGCAAGTCTCTCTGGGCCATTTGCCTTTGTCTTCTATGATGCGGTCAACTCAAGGCTCTTCTACAGCAGGGATTGTCTTGGGAGGCGATCTCTCCTCGAGGGATTTGATGAAAATGGAAATTTGAAGATTTGCAGCATTTGTGACAGTGCATCGCAGGATTGCTTCAAGGAAGTGGGCACCGAGGGCGTTTGTACGATTGACCTAGCTCGCTATCAAGATCCTTCTTTACCTGCCAGAGAGTTGTGCAAAATCGAGACCTTGCCATGGAGCTCTGCTGCTTCACTTCCAGCTGATCACATTGTATGTCTACCATATCTTTCCCGCGAGCAGCAACTGACAAGAGACCAAGAGAAAATCAATCCCACCCATGAACACATCATTACCAACAGAGCAGCCTCCTGCACTGACAACAGACTCAGTATTCGTCCAGGAGCTTGAGTCAAAACTGCGCCAATCCCTCGAATTGAGAATACAGAACATTCCCGAGCCTCCAGGCTACATTGTAGGCCAGACTGCCAAAACCGCCGTTCTCTTCTCCGGTGGTTTAGACTGCACACTTCTCGCCAGACTCTCTCACGATATTCTCCCCCTCGAAGAACCAATCGATCTCCTCAATGTAGCATTCGAAAACCCGCGAGTGGCAGCCGCCGCAAAAGCCAACCAACAAAAATCCCCCTCCTCCCCACCCCTCTCAATATACGAAAACTGCCCAGACCGGATAACCGGCCGGTCCGCCCACATCGAGCTCCAAGCAACCTGTCCAGGCCGCACATGGCGCTTCATCGCCATCGACATCCCCTACACAGAAACCCTCGCACACCGAGACCAAGTCAAGCGCCTAATGAGACCCCACAACACAGAAATGGACATGTCCATCGCATGCGCCTTGTACTTCGCATCCCGCGGCCAAGGCACAGCCCAACCCAACCCCTCAGCCGAACTCCCCACCCCAGACACTCCCTCACCCACGTACACAACCTCCTCCCGCGTCCTCCTCTCCGGCCTCGGCGCCGACGAGCTCTTCGCCGGCTACGGCCGACACAGCGTGGCCTTCAACCGCGGCGGCTTCAAAGACCTAATCGCCGAGATCGAGCTCGACGTCAGTCGACTCGGTTCGCGCAACCTCGGCCGCGACGACCGCGTCCTCTCGCACTGGGGCCGCGAAACGCGCTTCCCATTCCTGGACGAGGAGTTCGTGGCTTGGACGCTGCGGGCTCCTGTGTGGGAGAAGTGCGGGTTCGGACTCCCGGAAATCGAGGCTACGGCTGGTATCGATGCCGAGAAGCTGGCGCTGCGTCTGGTTGCTCTGCGGCTGGGCTTGGTGAAAGTTTCTCGTGAGAAGAAGAGGGCTATTCAGTTTGGCGCGCGGACGGCGAAGATGGAGACGGGGAGGTCGAGGGGTACGGATGCTTTGAGCTGAAGGAGACTTGTGGCGGATGGATTTCTGCTGCTTGTTTGTTTCGTTCTGAGGTGCTTTACGCATGCGTATCCACTTCTTCTTCCTACACATCCATCCATCTACCTACTCTTTCTTTCTATCCTCCATTATAGATTCCTCCTTTTCTTCCTTTCATTTTCCCCCTCTACTCCATCTCCATCTCCATCCCTATCTCTCCCTCCACCAGCTATGATGACAGAACATGGAATCAGATACTTCCGAAACCTCCACCTCACCCAACAACCTTCCTTCATTTCTATACATCACATCCACAGACACACCCATCCACCCATCTCAAATACCCGCATCTGCACACCAGAACCTCAAACGCCCCATCTCCTGTGTCTCCCACCCTCTTTCGTTCATGCATAGAGCAATAGCAGTCCTCGGACGGTGCGTTGCTCGTGTTGAATGGAAGCGGGCGAGATGCGGAGGAAGGGAGTGCTGTTTAGGGTTTTGGTACAGGGAGGGGGAGATGGGAGATGGGTTGTGAGTGTGGGTGGTATGAGATGGAGGGTGGTTGGGGGGATCGGGGTGTGTTTATGAGGCATTTTAAAGGCAAGTCTGAGCTGGACTAGATTACTTTCACTTTCACTTGAGGGAGATGCAGATAGATTATCGTTCGGTCGTATATCTATGAGGGAAGGATATGGTACTGGGGAGTTATACATAGTCTTTAGAAGCACGGAGTAGTCTACTAGGATAGTTTACAATACACGTAGAAGAGATAGAGCAATATGATTGATTCAAACAGAGACAAATAACATATTAAGAGAGCCACGAGTCAATCCCATAAGAGGGAGACAATCAGAACCGGCCTAACAAAAGTAATCAAAAACCGAAGTAGGTAAGCTGAAGCAGCAGAGCGCAAAAGTGAGAAACACAGATCAGAAGGAAAAAAAAGAAACATTGACTGAGGAACTTGTCTCAAACTTTTAGAGAATCAGATGCGACGAAGCAAATCGCGTCCATCTGATCTCGGTGAGACGTCGGGGCTAGGCTTTACCCATCACCCGCGCCTACCACAATACCCAGAGGGTCGAAACGAAACAAAAACATGAAGACGGAATGCCCAATCGTTACAATCGTCAGAATCACCGAAGGGGGCCATAATGCAAAGACCCGTGTCTCAAATTTTGAATGACCAAGAATAGAAAAAGGAGCACCATTACTGGTAGGCGTTTTGAATCTGGAGCTGAGCCTTAAGCTTGGCAATCTCCGCGTCGCGTTCGGCGATGATCTTCTGGAGATCCTCGATGCGGCGCTCGGAGCTGAACTGGCGCTCCATCTTCTTGGCACGCGACTTGCGGGCCGCTTCGGTGTTACGAGCGCGCTTAGCAGCAATAGGATCATTGGGGTCGAACTCAACAGGCGACAGGTTCTTGCGCGATCGCGCATTGACACCTGCGACGCTGGAGTGCTTGGCGGTACCGGAGGCGGGAACAGGCGAGGATGCCGTCGACCGCTTGGCGCGGGGGGAGACAGGAGACATGGGGATTGTCGACATGGCTGGCTTCTTTGGTTCAGTGAAGGCAGCTGCGACATCCAAGGTAGCAAGGTCGAAGGCATTAAGTGGGTCTGACGAGTGATCGAAAAGAGAGGGCCATTCTTCGTGGCCGGCAATATCCATGTCGGTGAACATGGGCGAGGTGTTTTGGCTGAAGTTGCCGGGCGACTCGAATGAGGGAGTGCTCAGGTCGGTGAAAGTACCGGAGGGAGGAACAGACGCATCCATCATGAGATCCCTCGGCGAGATAGTGCCCGGGGGACCTTCAGGGGAGAAGTTGGCCAGGCCGAGATCGTTGAATGAAAGAGCTGAATCCATGCCAGCGGCGAAGTCGCCCGAGGGGAGACCAAACAGGTCAACCTCGTTAGCTTTCAAAAAGTTAGCGATATACTCGCTATCACAGGGCGACATGAATAAATTACCTTCCATGAAGTTGGGAGTAGACATGACACGTCGATATGTTTGCGTGTTTTGGTTTTGACCGTTAAAAAGCGGGATGGGTGGGCGGTTGGTGTTTGGAGAATCGGAAGGCACAGAAGCCGTATTAGAACGGTGGTGCGTGAACGTAGGACGGGACCAATAAGAGGGGGACCGGGCAAGCTGGGTCACTCTGGGGTCTGGGACAGGTGAACCAGAGAACTGCTGCTGGAGATGTCGGTGCAACTGCAGACTGAAAGAGTGTCGTCGGGGGTTATTCTGCGCCAAGAATGGCTGGAGTGCAGAAGGTCTATGGGTTGTGTTCACAGGCACACGCAAGCGGGGCTGCGGGTGTGGTGTGGCTGATGGATAAAGCACAAAGTCCTCGAGTGCACTGTTGTTGTTGCTGTTGTTGTTGCTGTTGTTCTGATTGGAAGCCAAGGGCTGTGGAGGTGGGGGTGATGGAAGCCATGGTTGCTGGTGGTAATCCGTGGTGAACGACGTTAAGTCGATCGGGGTAAATTTGTTGGGAGAACTGGAGCTACGCGACGCGATGCTAAAGTTCAGAGATCCAAAAGGAGGCTCTGAAGGGGGTAGAGAGGAGATGAAAGGGCTGTTTCCGGATGGAGAAATAATGTCTGCCTCAGTTGAGATAGACTGGCTGGTGAAAGACGGGGAACTTATTGGGAACCCATTTTGGCGATAGTGAAGTTGTAAATAGTTCTGGTGTGGCAGCAATTTGGCGGTTTATGTGTATGTGTGTAAAAAAGAGACGGGTATAGGGAGAAAAAAATCAGGCAAACGGGGAGGGGGAACTCAGGCACTTCTTAAGGGCTGTGTGCCCTGGTGCTGACCAATCGGTGGTCCGGAGCCGCACGGGGCTTAGTCCTGGAAGTCACGGGGTGTGAGTCACAGCCTGCATCCGTGGGTCTGATTGGTTACATCGGACAGGCATCCATCGAGACTGCAGTACATCAGATGGTACCTGCACTTGGCCTGCATCTGCATACATAAGTCAGGTATCTTTCAAGTATCTGTCCCCAGGATCCTCTCCGCTTCCTTTCGAATTGACCAATCAGTGCTCATATTCCTATCCCTCCCGGAATCCCAAGGCATTCATTTTCTTTTTTAATTTAACTTGCTTTTTCCTCAATTGGTTTTTTGCACCCAAAATCTCTCAAAACCCACACAACCAAGCTTCTGAGCTTCTTTGGAAATCAATTCCATCCAGGCACCACACAATTCCTCCCTTGTACCTAGGTATGAGGTTGTACATAGACCCGGGGAGACACAGCCGTTCTCCATGAGGGCAATGAGAAAAATGCACCGGATCCACCGATCCTTTCCCAATCTCGTTCCGGTGGGCTGAGTCCGTCGCCAATGTCCTATGAGAGGCTCACGTTTCCTTAGTCTTGCCGAAGGGCGTGAAATTGACTTTTAACATTTGTTTCCGGAATTCCATTGTCGGAGACTCGGAGTACGGAGTAGAATATATAGACGGAGTACAGTACAACTATATAGACGGAGTACTCAGTAGATATATAACATGCTAAACCAGTCTTCATTCTATACTCATCCTAAACTCGAGTCCAAAAAATAACTCAACAGAATACCGATATACTTTAAAGTCAATACGAATACGGCGCACTGCGTAACCCAGACCCAATTTATTGATTTTTCATTTCTCCTGCGATAATGCCGACGTACCTCCAAGGGCCGAGGCTTTACCGAAATGGTGCCCGCCGGACACCTTGCAGACATGTGCGATGCACTGGAAAAGAACATGTCATTATTGCCTAGCATAGAGAACAGTAGACCTTCAAGTCTAGACTGCTGTCGATCTTGCTACAATCAATATAGCATCATATTGCAAATGTTAAACGTAGGTAACCGCGATTTGAGCTCGTGTTAGAGGCCGATCTCACGGATATTCACGGGCACCATACGGAGTACGGAGTACGTCCGTGCCTGATCCAATAATCTAATGGTGGTTTCCTAAATGAAGCTACATATCTAGTGCAGTTTAAGTGCCAACATGGAAGGCTGCACCCCAGACTGCCAAGACATCACGATGGGTCGTTAGATCCTCAACTATGAGTATTGCTTGCATATACATATGCAACGGTATGGACCCGATTTTTTCTTTTTCCCAGGTGGGTCTTTTCTAGGTGTAGAAATGGATATCCCTACGACTATGAACGATAGTTTAAAATCCAATGCTTGAATGAATGTGGTGCTTTCAATGCGGAGGGCAAGGTCATCCACAACCGCTTCGTGAATATAACCTTGGTATTCTGCCGACTAGCATGGCCCTTGTAATCCCAGGTTGACATCTGCCACACTCAACGTTCTCTGAACAGCCACTTGGAATGCATGGAAGCCAGTGCCTCCACTGAAACCTGGATGATCTTGGTTACTTAGGGATTTGTGGAGACCGTGTGTTGTCATCAAGCCCGCGGTAGCCGAACGTGATGAACTAGAGGAAGAGCCCGAGGAGCATTTGAACGGGGATGAGGATATTCAGGTGGCTGTATTATTAGGGCCACGAAGTCTTACCCGGGATTGAACGACACAATAGTGTGTTGGTAAGTGCCACTCTAAGAGGTTCGTCATTGAAGTAGTGCACGTCGTGAGGATAGAGCCTGCGATGACACTTTTTTAAACGATGCGGGAAAGGACTGCTAAGTCTCCGCGTTGGTATTGATGGTGGGCGGATAGCATAGCAAATACAACGAACAAAACCACTTTGCGGTTATACGAGACCCTCGAGAATGGGTATATGAAAAGAAAGAGACAAGTAAAAGAGGGAGACCCCAGTACCATAAACTACTACCCCGGCCGCAAGGATTCTCGCCTGCTCAACGTATCGACCAAGCTCAATACTACAATATAATGACCACGTAAAGCAAAATTGAGAGATTCTATTAAGTATTACCTATCGCCAGGTATGCCACCTCCACGGCGGAATATAAACCAGCCGTTCGGGACAACAACGGTAGACAACATTACAGGGCCAATTTGGGTTGCAGGGAGAAACAAGTCAACAGACCAGATCCAAAGCTCAAGCAACAAGCAAAAAGAGCACCCATCCTCCCCACAGGGTATCAAACACAAAAGCAAGTAACCAAAAAAGAAAAGGCAGAGTGGTATCAATCTAGTCGGACGACAAACCACGTAACACATAGTCGCGGCGCGAACAGAGTCACAATCGCGGGACGCAGGTCGTAAAGGAATGAGCCGCAGTCCAAAGTCTGGGGGCGTCGTTGACGCTGATGGTATTATTTTAGAGAAAATCAAAGAAAAAAAAAGCGACAGCGGGTATCTCATTGTCGTCATCTCAGGTCCAGGCCCAAACATAAACGGGGACCGTGGACTGAAGATAACGACAGTGGCGAGGGAAAAGCAAAACAATTGGAGCAAGTGGTATCAAAGTTGCATCTTCAAGACTGAATCAGCCCGTCAGGTATATCGCGAGCGGGCGGCGGATAGGACACGTCCCACCACCGTTCAAACTCCACAGGACTCCGAGTCGCATCTCATGCGGCAGCCTGAACAGGGGTGGAGACGGCAACGTTGACATTGTTGGAGTCCTCAGCGGTCTCGACGGGCTTGGGGGTCTCCTGGATTTCAGTCTCCTTGGCAGGGACGGCGGGGGCCTCCTCAGCGGCGTCAGCCTTGGCCTCAGTCTCAGTGGCAGTAGCCTCCTCCTTGTCAAGCTTGACAGCCTTGCTGGGCTTGCGGAAAAGACTGCCGAGCTTCTTGGGCTTGGATTCCTTGGCCTCACCATCAGTGAGCTCGTTGTCGGAGGAGTCCTTCTTCTCCTTCTTGATGCCAAGGTTGCCGAAGAAAGAAGTGCGGCGCTTCTCCTTGGGGGTGGAGACGGGCTCGGCGGCGGGAGTCTCAATGGTAGGGGTCTCCACAGCCTCAGCGGGGGTAGTCGAGGCCTCGGCCTCGGGGGTGGCAGCGGCCTCCTCGACGGGGTGCTCGAGCTGAGGAGCAGTGCTAGCGACGGGAGTCTCCTCGGTAGGGAAGGAGTTAGCCTCCTTCTCGGACTTCTCCTGGGAAGGGCTGGTGACTTTCTGGAAGAAGTTACCGAAGATGGAAGCACGCTTGGCCTTCTTCTCGGCCTTCTTCTCCTCCTTGGCAGATTCGGTAGTCTCAGCAGGGGTCTCAGCAGTAGGCTCAGTAACCTCAGTGGGGGCAGCAGCAGTCTCAGAGGTCTCAGCAACGACGGGAGCAGGAGCCTCAACGGAGGGCTCAGCAGTCGGCTCAGCAGCCTTGGTCTCCTCACCAGCGGGAGTCTCCTCCTTCTTTTCCTCGGCCTCCTTCTTGGGCAGGAGCGAACCGAAGATGCTGGCGCGCTTGCGAGACTGGGAGCGGCTCTTGGTGGCCTTCTCCTTCTTCTCCTCCTTGGGCTCCTCCTGGGCAGCCTCACCAGCCACAGCGGGGGTCTCCTCCTCGGTCTTCTTGGCGGCAGCAATGACAACGGCAGGCTTGGTCAGCTTCTCGAGCTCAGCCTTGTAGCCCTCGCTGGAGATGATGGTCTCCTTCTCGGCCTTAGCTTCGGTGGCCTGAGCCTCGATGGCGACAACCCAGCTGTCACGCTCGGCGGTGTTGGCGGCCTGGAAGGTGTGCTTGTGGCCACCAACCTTGAAGAGGAACTCGTGTGTACCTTCCTTAGTCACGTCAGAGACATCGGCCTATTCGGTGTGTTAGAGTTTGCCGCATCAAATCACAGTTGCCAAAGCACTCACGAGGTTGAAAATGCCAGCGGGGGTGGCCTTGTCCTCAGCGCGCTTGGTGAAGAAAAGGAGACCCTTGCCGGTCTGGGTGGCCCAGGCGGCGATGGGGTTGGCGACGGAGGACTTCTCGTTCTGGTGGAAGACAGAGAGGTGCTTGCTCTCAGTGGCCTCCTCGTTGAAGTAGAAGAAGCGCTTGACGAAGCGGAAGCCCCTAAAAGAAACAAAGAATACCTGTCAGTCTCCGTGTCGCATTTGTGATCTCAGTCGCAACTTACTTGACCAGACCAGGGCCTTTGTGGCCCAGAACACCCTCGCTAGCGGGCTTCACCTCCTCCTTGGCGGGCTCCGAAGCCTCGGTGCTCTCAATGGCGGGAGTGGCTGTGGGTTCCTCAGTGGTCTCCTTGGGGGCTTCGACCGCTGTCTCGGTGGCAGGAGTCTCAACGGCGGGTTCAACGGTAGGGACGACCGGGGTCTCCTCAACAGTCTTCTGGACTTCAGACATGATTAAAATAATAAACGGGTATTAAAGAAGCTGGGCTTCGTAGGGGTAAAATAGGCGTGTTGGGTATAGGGTATCTCAAAAGAAAGCAAAAGAAATTAGAGCACAATAGCTCGGGTATCACGAAGTAAGGGTATTTTGCTTTGTGGGAGGAAGAAGAGAGAAGAGAGAGAAGAGGAAAAGGGAAAAAAAAAGAGTCAGAGGGTTGTTGATGGCGTCCTCCCTGAAAAGGAAAGGACCTGCAGGGAGCCCAGAGCTCAGGGGACCCACAAAAAGATTAGCTAATGGCGCTTCAGGGGTTAATTGGTTTTTTTTGTTTTTTGTTTTTTTTTTTTTTTGGTTTCTTTTTGTCATTTTCCGTTATTTTCGTTATATTTTTACGGGCCATGTTTTTTTCATCCATGGATGCTGTGTTTTCTCATTCTCATTACCTTTTGACATGTTTTTTTTTAATTCTATTCTGTTTTTGCACTCTATCAGTCTCCTATGTAACACGAAATACGCTTTGCAACTAACTTTGCAAGTGGAACAGCCATGGACAACCTTGGAAGTGTGCCAATCTATGCCCTAAGGATACTTACGATAACACGAACTTCTTTGTCCATGACGCTAGACCTGATCGAACTAAATTTAGGAACTAAACAGCAAATAGGAGAAGGAAAACTCTGCAATTCTTGGCCTTGCACTGTATGAAACCATCACACCATAGGCCATGATCGGCCATGCAGCTTGAATCAACGGTCACATCTCGCTAATTACTCCATGTACTTCGGATGCTCCTACCGATTTGAAAGTCAACTTCTGTTCGTTTCATATTCTATGAACGTATACAAAAAATATATATCGTCATGGCGGGGTTATCTTAGATTGTCAGGTCATCAGACACAAGAAAAGTATACTTAGTTAGTTAGTGACTTCCTGGCCCGTAAGGAGGTTCTATTGTTCGGTGGGTCGCCACACCGTTGGCGCTCATTCCACATCATTCAACTACGCCGTTACACAGTTCAAGGGGGGCGTTGCCGTTGGAATTACCGAATCCATTCATTGTCAAATCAACTAGATGTTTCGATGGTTCTTCTGTATTACTCCGCATACTCCGTACTCCGTAGTCAAAAAGTAGATCCGACCTTGCAAGCCTCTCCATCCCTCGGAAGGGCTATATCGGCACTAGAATATATCCCTTTGGAGGGGCATCCCTGTACTCCATGCCCACCCCCACCATATCACCACAAGGCAGCCCGTCATTTTGCTTCGTCATGATCAGCCTAGTGCGCCGTCTAGATGAACTTTGTCGCATTTACATGGCTTAGGTCGGGTATTGGCTACCGGGCCATGCACTCATCTTTAGGTTCTACAATGGTTGGCCATCACGACTTCCAATCGTTACTCAGGCCCCATGACCGAATATCAACTCTATGATGTAGTGGCGTGCGAACCCTCGTGGACAACCAACCAGCAGTGATACAACCCCTCCTTCTTGACTCTGGCTTTGATGTACGTCCCTATCGGCGTATCAACTGTCTTCGCCGCGCTGCGGGAAAGGTCCCATGATCTTTTCGTCTGGCCAATCGCAGCACATTAACAGAGTGTCGCCTCTTTACGTGATATGCGCATCATTCCATACCAGGATCGTCTCATACTTCTAATCCACGGAGTACAGCATACGGAGTACAAAGTAACTCTTATGGTATTGCAAGAACATAACTACAACATAGTTGAAACTGAAAACACGATCTACAACATACACGCTTGGACAATATGCCCCTAATTAAGCCCCTTTTCTGTCACCCTTTATGTCCCCCTATGTTTTCCCCGTAGATTTCTTAGTGGTAATAATATATCAAAAAAGTACGTACAACACGAAGTACGGAGTAGTCTCCACCGGACTACGCATCTAGTTTCGAGTCTTAGCGAATAAGGGGCCAGCCCTACAAACTCAGTGCAGGTATCAAGCACTTTATTCGGTTCATTTCCTCATTTCCACGGTTCATCGACAAGATAGTGTCTGCAGGAGAACGGAAAGTGCCTTAATACGCTGTTCTTCTCGTACAATGTCCTATGGCACCACCTTATATCTCCGGAGGTAGGTGGTATGATCTACAACTACCTCAGGACAAGCACTATCAGGTCAGCCCAACACTGGCTGCCAGAATGTGGCCATTGAAACATTTCCAGTAATGATAGCCGCACGGGGAATCCACCCCCTTCTCGGTATCTCATCATGCCCTATCATGGCCCCCCTTTTGCACCCGTTAGGCCTTTAGGGCGATTAAGCACCAGTCATGTCCGTACCAACCCTACCGTTTTCGCCCTTTTTTTGCGGTCGCGAGGTCCTAGGTTCAACCCTCCTCCTGCTGCATCCCATGAATGGTTGGCGTTTACCGCTCGTCGACGATCACATCATTGTTCCAAGTCAGCTTGTCGATCTTTGCTCCTCTCTTGTTGTTGGGCTAAATTTTGACACCATGCAAGTGCCATGCATAGCGGAACCCGGGCGCCTAGGGATTCTTTCCCGCTTTTTCGGGATGCATATACGGAATACGGAGTACATATGGCTCCATATTACTCGTTGTAGTTGTGATTGTTCCAGGGACTTACATTTGCACCGTACATGATGCATGTAACTATAGGTTTTGAGCAGGGAAAAAAAAAAACTAAAATATAGTACCACAGCAGGACTCTACTTTCATGAACAAAATATATCTCCCGAGCTCATTACCGAGTAAATTAATCGTAATACCTCCCGCCAAGCGCCAACTTGACCTGCGGTGTACACAAGGGACAGATTTCCCGTCCATTTAAGCCCCCGATGACTCTAGCGTCCACTAGATCGACTCAAACCATGGCACACTTTGATAAGGATGGGCGTTTACTTGCTATTCGATATTAACTGTGGGTTCCTCACCCGAGTTAATCTTGTAGAACCCTCTGAATAAGGGTATACTTCCGACAGACCGTATTCCAAACAAGTTGTGATCCAAACGTCTTTCGGACTTTTTGAGTAGTACGGGACGTGAGAGCCACAATACAAAGTTGTGGGATAGGGGAGGATCCACACAAGCTCGGGTCGGGTATGGAGTCTGGCTTGTTTTTGAGGCGTCTCGACCAAGGAGGTTTCAATTATTGATTCATGTTTGAGGTCTGTGTGTTGGTTCATGGTTCAAAAAATTTCATTCTCGCTCTGGCGCAAGTATGAAACCTAGGAAATAAATGCATGGTACCTGTGTCCTGCACGTTGCACTGTACATACCTCCGTAGCGTCATTCCTCGCCCTGACCTGACAGGTCTGAAATGTCCAAAAAGGGAGGTGGATGAGTCATATCACATGCTGTTGGGCCTTGGCAATGTCACGTGCTATCATTTGCTTCGGTTGCTGGCTAATCAGTGGGAGGTGGCGAATCTGGGATTCTGCCACCGCCTTCTAGCAAGTGTATATATATCCGCGTTTTCCCAGACCGGTTCCTCTTTTTTTCTTTCTTCTTCATACTTACCTTGTTTGGGTGACCGTGATCAATAAGACGTGTCACCACAGATTGGTCCCTGCATTGCACATCGTGGTGGAACAGTTTGTTCAATGGCTCTCGTGGTCATTGACAGGCGCATTCTTTGGCACTCTCCTTCGTGGAACTCTTTTCATCAACCTTGAGCCAGTGGCTCGAGTTTGGAGAAGAGATGTAATTCGTAGATCATAGCAATAAGCTCTAATGGCAATTATTATTTCCTTGTAATTGTAACCTTGTCCCTTGGAACACCCTTACGCTGGTGCGACCATTGCGCCAAGTCCCCACGTCCCTCGGCACGCATCAACAACGGCTTGTCGCGTATCGCGATCAGTAAATAAATGATGGCATGTTCATCTCGTCTTCATTCTCCGGTGCTTCGTGTCCAGGGTCTAGCATCCAATCTCCAGCGTCCAGTCCCCAGTCCCCAGTCCCCCTACCAACCGTACAATGCTGAATCTCACTTCTCAGCTACGTTTTGTTGATATGACGTCTGACTCACACTGGCGTCGCCACACCTGTGGCGACCCCAGACCAACTCTTGCCAGCATAAAACCAGCATGAAATCCTACTGAAGCCAAAACTCACGACAGCTCGAGTCCTAGTCTACCATCCTCACTCACTTCCTTGAATATAATTTCCTCGAAACCACTGCCGCACTCGCGACTCAAAACACTCAACCTCAACCAAGATGCCCGTCCCCACTGCCGATCTCTTTGACAAGCAACAAAGCCAAGCCAACTGCACGCAACCTCCGAGCTCCGCTTCACACACTGCCCCTGACCACATCAACAACAACAGCTATTTCGGGACCGCGCCTGGAAACTCAGCCAGCCCGTCGCAGAATGCTGATAGTGGTCGCTCTCTGACCAAGGAGGAGGCCGATCGCCTGTACGAGGAGCGGATGGAGGATGAATACGCGAAGAGGGATGGCGGTGCCTAAGTCGAGGCTGATCTGTGGCTGTACATTCTGTGTGCTCGTCGACTCCACTCTATGGGAGCTGCTGTCTATCCGTGACGATGGAGTTGGGTTTTCGTTTTTTCCACCGACTATGTATTATGAGTGTAAATGATTAATTTCAAACTATTTTGATTTGAATTTCCGAGCTTCTGAATTGATGAGGCTGCACTGTATATCGGAGCTTCGAAAGCATTAAGATGCGCAATCCCGGCGTGGTGGTCGAAGCTAGATAGCAATATATTTCTGTGAGGTCTGTTCAAAATGTATTCGCTGTCCTGTTGTGTTGCATCTCTATTATGTGTTGTATATATCGCTGGTATGGGATATTGTTGTAGACCAGCCAGACCAGCCAGCCCCGCGAATGACTCACGCGAAATATATATAACTGTAGTTTCAATACCCAACAAGAACCAGCTTCCAAGAACATCGCATATTCTGTCAACATGAGCTTCTACCCTGATCAAGCTACATCCGTGATCCTCCCGGCCGATTTAAGACCTATCCACACAAGTCGCCTGTATCTACGACCGCTGACGGTAGCTGACGCCACGGCCATTTTTGAGATCCGCCGACGACAAGACGTAGCGGACTGGCTGTAAGATTACATCCAAACAACAACCACCACAATAACCCGGGAGAGTTATACACTGACTAGTAACTATTATATGTAGCTGGCCCAAAGTGCCCCACAAAGACATATCAGAGTCCGAGGCCCTCATTACCAAAAAGACATTCACAACACCGGATGCATCAGGTGCCATTGGGCGGAAGTTCTTCTTCGCCATTATCCGTTCCGAGGACTCGTCACAGACGGTTATTGGAGGAGCGGGAATCAATGCTCTTAGTCCAGCCCCGTCAGTGGGGTATAATATCCATCCTGACTTCTGGGGTAAGGGCTATGCCACGGAGGCCGTTGCTGGTATTATAGATGCGTGGTGGAAGCTTGGCAGGATAGCTTTCGACGGGACTGGATCGGATTTGAAAAAGGAGAAGCTGTTTGCGGCGTGCAATAGAGCGAATGTTGGCAGTGTGAAGGTGCTGCAGAGGACTGGGTTTAGTATCTACCGCGAGCAGTCGATCGAAGGTGATGTGGTTGCACTTTTTGAGTTGGAGAAGTCCACCAGGTAGTAGGGTAGATGGAACATCGACTCATTTGGTAATATTATAACGCTGGAAGGTCTGGGTAGTTAGCCATACTCTCTAAACATGAAGCCCCACTGGGGGGGTGGCATAGTAGGAAAATATTCAATATTTTAGGGAACCGAGTACTTCAATATTCTATTGAAAGATCTTCTAGATGACTTTGCAACCTTTTGACGCGAGGAAATAGCTGTTGAGACCCTGACACTATGATTTTGACACCTTATTTGAATTGGCTGTCGCGAAATTATATTGTGTTCAATAACAAACACTAACTGAACACCTGGGCATTCACGTGCCATTTTCCCTTTCGGAATATGATTCAAGAAAAAGAGCTTCTTTCTTCCTTCTTCATCCTTCCTCAAGACCCCAGTCCTCTGGAACATCATCTGCAACACACCACACATCCACAGCTGCATCAACACTTACCTATCAGCGTCAGACCTCCAACGCAATCATGTGAGCCAACGAACATAGCCGTTCTCAATAAAGTAAGGCCTTGAAAACTGAACAAAACTCAACCTTATACAGGGATCTGATACAAATGGATCGCTGCATATCGGTTCTCCAAGGAAATGTGGCCAAAATGGAACAAACACTACAGAATCTCGAAGAGACTTTCAAAAGCATTCTTCCTGACATACTCGACTATCTCAATGAAGGACCTACTAAAACACAACAACTTGTGAATAAAATTGGTATGAACTTTGCGAGACTTCAAGTTCTCGAACTGTTGGAAATCATGGAGCGTATTTGTTTGGAGGACAAAAAGAGAAACGACGAGGGAGATGACAGGGAAGATGAGGAGAAAGATGATGAGGAAGACGACAAGGACGACGACGAGGACGATGAGGAAGACGATGAGGAAGACGATGAAGAGGAGCAGGCAGAGAAGAAGGAGCAATGAGAGACTATCACGACATGTCAGTGGCCTATGGAGGACGACGTCTTTCAAGCTAGCTATTCAAGTTCCCCCAGTGTAGCATCTGCTATGAGGTCAAAAGAGAAACGGGAGAAGAACCTTTAGTTCTAAAGCCTACAGAAGCTCCCACGGCCTTCAGAGTGCCCACAAATGATATGAGACTCATTAAGACAGCATGGACCTGGACTGTAGAGACTCATCGTCGAGGTAGTGAAGCGTAGAATCGGATTCGAGATAAACCCAGCTATTGGATGGTATGTAGGTAAGGGATTTTAGGCAGAACGACGAGTCTTATGTCGTAGATATAGATCTTAAGAGGTACATACATGTGTAGGTCGTTAATCCTAACAAGTGGAAACGTCAACTACGGACTCGATCGAAGGATTATAGAAAAACAACATAGATAGAAAGCATCAGCTTATTCCGATAGCACCGTGGCAGTATATACGGGTCCCAATAAACCTTACTACCAATAATTTGCAGTATGAGATGGCATACTCGTTCCTCAACTATGATCGGTTAGGGCAAGCAGCTCTTATTCACCGATAGGCGATTAGGACAGATCTCCTGCTGATTCAGACTCCTGGAATAAAAAAAAGACGAAGCATGATAATAAGCCATCAGTTCATCTGCCCAGGAGCAGTTTAAAGAAATTTAGTTGTTGGTTATATTGTAGACATTTTGTTTAGTTTAGTCGTCCCACGCGATCACGTGCAAACTAAATCACGTGGCTGGATGCAGCCAGCTTGACAGAGCCACCCGAGAACGAGTGCAAGTAGAGCCCGGACTATTCGCAACAACAGAGCCGAGGATCTGTGCCTCTCATTTGAATCTATCTATTACTGTCGCTCTTTGCCTCTTACTTTTCCCTGTCTTTCTCCCAAAAGACACGGCTCCTGGTAGCCTCATTACACCATGGTTCCACGGGACACCTTCTTCCGCTCGGCGGATATGAGCTTGACCCAGCTCTATATTGCCAACGAGATCGGAAGAGAAGTTGTTAGTGCATTGGGTGAAGTTGGCCAGGTTCAGTTCCGAGATGTAAGTGACGAAGAACGCTTTGCTTTGATACTCCCGCTAACGTCTTTCTAGCTCAACCCGGACACGAACGCTTTCCAAAGAACCTTTACAAAAGAAATCCGCCGCCTGGACAATGTCGAAAGACAGCTCCGCTATTTCCACCAACAGACGGAAAAGGCCGCAATCCCTATGAGATCTTCCACGGATTTCTCCGATACATTGGCCGCCCCCTTGGCGTCGGAGATCGATGAGTTGGCTGATCGCAGTGAGAGCCTTGAACAGCGGATTATCTCTCTGAACGATAGCTATGAGACTTTGAAGAAACGTGAAGTCGAGCTGAGCGAATGGCGATGGGTACTTAGAGAGGCCGGTGGATTTTTCGATCGGGTAAGTTGCCTCGAGTATACCGTTGACAGACAAGGCTAACTGAATAGGCCCATACACAAACAGAAGACATTCGTCAGTCCTTGGACAACGATGAAGCTCCTCTGCTCCGTGATATTGAGCATCACGCCCCCCATCAAAATGGAGACACTCAGGGTCAGCAGAGCTTCTCGGAAATGAACATTGGATTCGTTGCTGGTGTTATTCCCCGGGATCGCATCGGAGCCTTTGAGCGTATCCTCTGGCGTACCCTGCGCGGAAATCTTTACATGAACCAGTCCGAGATTCCGGAGCCCATTATCGACCCAATGACGAACGAGGAAGTCCACAAGAATGTTTTCGTCATCTTCGCTCATGGCAAGAACATCCTTGCTAAGATCCGCAAGATCTCGGAGTCGCTCAACGCCTCCTTGTACGGTGTCGATGAGAACAGTGAGTTGAGGAGGGACCAGATTCACGAAGTCAACACCCGTCTCGGCGATGTTGGCAATGTGCTCCGTAACACCAAGAACACCCTTGATGCGGAACTTTCCCAAATCGCTCGCTCGCTCGCCGCCTGGATGATCATTGTCAAGAAGGAGAAGGCCGTTTATGATACCTTGAACAAATTCTCATACGACCAAGCGCGGAAGACGCTCATTGCCGAGGCGTGGTGCCCGACAAACTCTCTTGCTCTGATCAAGTCGACCCTCCAGGACGTGAACGACCGCGCGGGCCTCACTGTTCCTACAATCGTCAACCAGATCCGAACAAACAAGACCCCTCCGACTTTTGTCAGGACGAACAAGTTCACCGAAGGGTTCCAAACAATCGTGAATGCTTACGGTATCCCTAAGTATTCGGAAGTCAACCCTGGCCTGTACACGGTCGTCACCTTTCCCTTCTTGTTCGCAGTCATGTTTGGTGATTGCGGTCACGGTGCACTGATGACTCTAGCCGCTTCTGCTATGATTTTCTGGGAAAAGAAGCTGGCGCGGACTAAACTGGATGAACTGACATACATGGCATTCTATGGACGGTATATTATGTTGATGATGGGTCTGTTCTCGATCTACACCGGTTTTATTTACAACGATATTTTCTCCAAATCTTTCACCTTCTTCCCCAGTCAGTGGGAATGGCCCGAGGACATCAAGCCTGGCAAAATGGTCGAGGCAACATTGAAAGGAGGCTATCGCTTTCCAATTGGTCTGGACTGGAACTGGCACGAAGCAGACAACTCCTTGCTATTTTCGAACAGTATGAAGATGAAGATGAGCGTTCTCCTTGGATGGTGCCACATGACCTATGCCCTTTGCTTGCAGTACGTCAATGGACGGTACTTCAGATCTAAGGTTGACATCTGGGGAAATTTTGTTCCTGGATTGCTCTTCTTCCAGTCAATCTTTGGTTACCTTGTCCTCACTATACTCTACAAGTGGACCGTGAACTGGCAGGAGAAGGGTGTGAACCCTCCCGGTCTCCTCAACATGCTCATTTTCATGTTCCTCAGCCCTGGTACGGTGGATGAACAACTCTATCCTGGCCAGAGCATGGTTCAGGTTCTTCTGCTCCTCCTCGCTGTGGCCCAGGTACCTGTCATGCTCTTCCTCAAGCCTCTCTGGCTCCGCTATGAACACAACCGCGCTCGTGTCTTGGGCTACCGCGGCCTCGGCGAGAACTCCCGGGTGAGCGCACTGGACGCTGATGGTGACGTGGACGGCGGGCTGGGTCGTGACAGTGTGGCTAGCGACGGAGAAGGCGTGGCCATGCTTTCTCAGGACATCGATGAAAGCGAAGAGCATGAGGAGTTCGACTTTGGCGACATCATGATCCACCAAGTCATCCACACCATCGAATTCTGCCTCAACTGTATCTCTCACACTGCTTCTTACCTTCGTTTGTGGGCTCTGTCGCTTGCCCACCAGCAACTTTCGATCGTTCTCTGGACCATGACCATTGGTGGTGCCTTTGACCAGGAGAACCCCGTGACCCGTGTGATCATGATTGTTGTCAGCTTCTACCTCTGGTTTGTGCTGACGATTTGCATTCTGTGTGTGATGGAAGGTACCAGTGCCATGTTGCACTCGCTCCGTCTTCACTGGGTTGAGGCAATGAGCAAGCATTTCGTTGGTGAGGGTATTCCTTTCCTGCCTTTCAGCTTCAAGACCCTGTTGGAGGAGGACCCCGTGGACTAGTCCATTCGTTCTTATTTCTACAACACGGGATTATCTCACTCCGTGTTTCTTTTTTTGTATTGTAAAGGGTCTAGAATTATACATTATCTATATTGTACCGATCTATCCCACATATATCCACACTGAACTATCACCATAGCGTAGATATCCCCCTTTAATTGGGCACAACAATGGCATTACCTAAATCTCAGGATCTTTTCACGTGCGCATGACTGTGGGTGGGGTATAGGGATTTCTTCTTCCGCTGCTGATCCCGAGGCCGAGTCGGCCAAGGGACAGACCGGGAGGATCTAGATCATTGGGCAGCACATCTCAGATTAGCTTGGACATATTTGTATGGGCGTGAAGCTAATTTGGGAGGGAATAGGGGTTTATCGCTACAAGGTCCAATTCGTGCAGCAATCACCAAAAATAGTGATTTTTGATAGGAAGCTTCATACTTAAGAGACGGGCGTTCCCGGCGAGGGAGGGGGAAAACCGGGCGAGGGGCGAAGGACGAGGGCCCGGGCAGGTCACGCGGGGCAAATGACGAAAACGGGACTGAGGTCACTCCCCATACTTCTACCCGGTTTAATTCCCCCCCCGCTCACTGACGTTAAACTGCTTCTCCTACCTTGTCTGCCTTGTTTCAAGATTGCCACACTCCTGCTACTTAAGCTACTCTTCACCTGAAACCCAATTGCTACGCTTTTTAATCTTTATATCCTATATCCTCCTAACAATACCCCAAAATGGCTTCAGCACCCGTTGGAGCGGAGAACATCAACACTGATATTGTCACACTTTCTCGATTCTTCACAGAAGAACAGATCAAGCACCCAGAAGCCTCTGGAGATTTCACACTCCTGTGCCATGCCCTTCAATTCTCCTTCAAGTCAATTGCCTACTACATTCGTCGTGCTTCCTTGATCAACCTTACCGGACTCGCTGGTTCCTCGAACATAACCGGTGATGACCAGAAGAAGCTGGACGTGATCGGCAATGACATCTTCATCTCTGCCATGCGTGGCTCCGGCAAGTGCCGCATTATCGTCTCAGAAGAAGAAGAGGAAGTGATCAGGTTCGACGAGCACCCCGATGCTCGCTACGCCGTTGTCTGCGACCCCATCGACGGTTCCTCCAACTTGGACGCCGGTGTGTCTGTCGGCACCATCTTTGGTGTCTTCCAGCTTCCCGACGAGCTCCTGGGTCCCAACAAGACCGTCGGCCCAGAGGACCTGCTCCACCCGGGTACTAGCCTGGTGGCGTCCGGCTTTACCATGTACGGCGCCTCAGCGCAGCTGGTGATTACGATGCGCGGTGGCGGTGTCAACGGCTTCACGCTCGAGAACTCGCTCGGCGAGTTCATCCTCACCCACCCCAACATGAGACTGCCCGAGTCGCGCTCCATCTACTCTGTCAACG